TTTTTGGTATCAACATTTACATACAAAACTGAAAAGAACCAACAATCAGATATAACCAAGACACTGCAGTAAGGTTTCATAAAGAAGATCAGCATAAATGAAGCAAAAGCTCTCTTCTTCTCTAGCAATAATAAGATAGAAAATGTAAAAGAAAACAAGCTATTGTTTAAAATAGCAACAAAAACCTATAGCATCCAGATTTTACCTTACAAAGAATGCACTGGTCCTGTGTGGAGAAAAAATATTAAACTATTAAGAGACATAAAAGATATGAATAGAGAGCTATACCTTGAACTTGGAAGGAGTAACTTGGTATTATAAAGATGCCAATTCTCCCCCAGTTTATCCATACATTTAGTTCAATTTCAGCTCAGCAGAATTTTTGGAGAGAACTTGAAAAACTGATTTCTATACACTACATAGAAGAATCAAGTTCCATGAATTGCTAAGATAGTTTCACCTTGCTAGGTATTAAGAAAGGTTACAAAGCCTAGTAATTAAAATAGTGTGCTCCTGGCTCAGGAACAGTCAAATAAACCAAAACTGAACCAAAACAAAACAAAACAAAATCCAGAAATACCTAAATTTATATGAGAACTAGTAAATTATTGAGGTGTCATCAGAAATCACTCGGGAAATAATGAATTATTTAGGAAATGGGTTGAGAAAAATTGATTCGATGTAGGGAGAAAAATGAAACATTTCTTACCTCACACCATATAAAAAGTAAATGCTAAGTGGGTTAGATCTAAATGTGAAAGGTAGTACTGCCAAGTTAATAAAAAAACTTGTAGAGGAATATCTTCATGTCCTTAGAGTGGAGATTGATCTCTCAGACAATGCTTTAAAAAAGCCTGAACCAAAAGAAGAAATATTATTTCCTTGACTACATCAAATGTAAAGGTTTTGGTCCAAGGGGGAACATCACAGAAAAAAGTAAGATTGGTGGCAGACTGGGGGAAAAACAATTGCAATGTCTGAAACCAACAGTAAATTTATATCTGGACTACACACAAGCTCCCATGAAAAAGACCCAAAACCAAGTAATAAAAAGAGCAAAGAATCTGGATATGCTCGTACACGTCACAGAAAAGGAAACCTAAGTGGTTAATACAGATATGAGGAGAGATATTTAACCGCACTAGTACTTAGGGAAACACACATTAAAATAATGAAAATGTCCGATGATAAGTTCAGGGGAAGAGGTGGGACAACGGGGACCCTCAGGCACTGCTGATGGGATTGTAAACTGGTGCCATTATTCTGAATACTAATACCATCGAGCTTTGTGGAATTAAAGATGTGGCCCAGCTGTTACTCCCTGGGGTGATTAAAACAAAAACCTCTTGCATATGTCTTCAGGAAATGTGTGTGAGGATGCTTATCCCTTCATTATTTGAGAAAGCAAACATCGGAGGCACTTTAAGGTGTCCAGACTTGGGAGGATAGTTCAGAAGATGTTATATGCGCATCGTGGAGTACTATTCAGTCAGGAGTAATAAAAAGTCTCACCCTTACATAGTTGGATAGATTTCTAAAAGAAGATAAGAAATGGGATGAGATTCACTGCACAGTATCACTTGTGCAGGTTCAAAACATATACAAACTATATGTTTTTCAAGATATATAATATATATACAACACATACATAAAAATAGACACCTGGACAGTGGGTGGTAAGTTGTCATTAGTCTTCTCTGCTTGGTGCTTCCAGACCTTGGGCATGGCCATGGACCTGCCAGTGCAGTGCAGCTGTGGACAGCATAGCAAGGCAGCACCATTGGCATAGTGAGAAATTGTGCCTGGAACCTGAACTTTAGATCCAGGTTCAGCTGACGGCACTTTGGTAATGAGCTTACAAGGTAATCATGCAAGAGCCTTAGGAAGATGGTGCTGGGAATATGAAAGGCTTTTTGCAACCTGGCAGGACCTTAAATACTGGCATGCGGTTCAAACGTATTTTATGCCAAATAGATCATTTAATTCCAGGGGGAAATTGTGATATTGCTCTGCTTATATTCTGATGCCAACCCCAGCTAGTACACTGAAATTTATTTTTGGCATTAATGACCTGGAGTTAGCACAGACCCCACAAGTTAAAGGACATGGTCCACAACAAGACGATACTCATTTCAGACCAACTGGCTACAAATCTGGAGGTTCCTCACCACCTGCCTCAGATTCCAGAATTCACTAGAATGTCTCATCGAACTCAGGAAAGCACTATACTTACAAACCCAGTTTTGTTATAAAGGATACAACTCTTGAACAGCCAATGAAGACACATACAGGGCATGGTTTGGGGGGGGCTCCCGAATGCAGAGTGGAATCAGGGCATGTCACCCTCCTGACACATCAGTGTGGTCACCAACTAGGAAGTTCCACTGAGCCTCAGTGTCCAGAGTTTCTATTGGGGTTCCATTACATACACATGATTGACTTAATCATTGGCTACATAACTGAAGTCAATTTCCAGCCCCCTACCCCCACCCCCAACTCCCTGGGGAAGGGGTTAGCTCAAAGCCCCAACCCTCTAATTACATGGTCGGTCTTTCTAGTGACCAGCGCCCATCCTGGGGCACTTCTTCTATAGCATAAACTCAGGTGTGATTCCAGGAGCTCATCAGTAACAAAGACAGTCTTATAACTTGGGAAATTCCAAGGATCTAGTTTCTCCCAGGAACAAAAGCCAGTCAAATTCTTTATTATTCAACAGTTTAGAAAACAAGGGGAAAATATTGTTATTAAATGGATACCCAAACACATTTGACTAAGCACAAGTCCCCATTCAAAGTTTTAGAAACATACAAGATAATAGGAAATTAGTGCTAGAAAAGGCCTGAGACATAAGCCATTTACCAACACTAATAAACTAGTTAGGTACATTTGTAAGTGAGCTTTGTTCCAAAACTTGCTCTTATTTGGGGCTTAGAAACCCATTCTTCTTACAGACACAGTCTTACCCAATAGCTATTAGTTAGTTCTCAGTCTAGTTTACAAAATTTAGTAGTGATCCAGTAGTAATAGGATGGCATTTATTGAGCTGGGAATCTGCTGTATGCCAATGCACTATTCTAGATGCTAGGAAGTAGTAAGAATAGTATGTTTGAAAAAATGGAGGAAGATGGGGAACCTGAGTCACAAGCAGCATTACAAGAGATTGTCAGTCACTTATAGAGTCTTAAAATGTAAGTACTCATTGCATTTCTGGAAAAATATTCTGAGAAAAAAATGGCCTCAGCATTGAAATGTTAAATACGAGGAAGAACAAGAGAGGTCTGACAATTAAGTTAGTGAACTTGTTGCAATGCTGTTGCCAACCTTTTTTGATATCAGAGGGATTATTCATTATGAATTGGTACCAACTGGACAAACAATTAACCAAATTTACTATTTGGAAGTGCTGAAAAGGCTACGTGAAAAAGTTAGACAAAAACGACCTGAACTTTTCACCAACAATTCATGGCTCTTGCATCATAACAATGCACCAGCGCACACGGCACTGTCTGTGAGGGAGTTTTTAGCCAGTAAACAAATCACTGTATTGGAACACCCTCCCTACTCACCTGATCTGGCCTCCAATGACTTCTTTCTTTGCCTGAAGATAAAGGAAATATCGAAAGGGAGACATTTTGATGCCATTCAGAACATCAGGGGTAATACGACGACAGCTCTGATGGTCATTCCAAAATGGCCTTGAAGGGTGGACTAGGCACTGGCATTGGTGCATAGCTTCCCAAAGGGAGTACTTTGAAGGCGACTGTAGTGATAGTCAGCAGTGAAGTACATAGCACTTTTTCTAGGATAACTTCGAGAACTTAATTGTATGAGTTCATATGTGAAGAACCATAACATAGTTTGTTGCATTGAGTAGGTGCTCAATCAATATTAAGGGGAAAACAAAGACCTCATCCAAGGCAGGATTCAGTCTATAGTACTGAAATGGATATAGATCTTGGCATAAAATAAGCATAAATAGAAAAAGTATGCATTTGGCCCAATTACTTAAATGTGGTGAAAATGAGGCTGTATTCTAATATGTGATCAAGTTCTAGGGCAGTAGTAATGAACTCCAAAATGCACAGCCGTGTGCGAGGAAAGTGTGGCCCAGTGGCTTTTTTCCTTAAAGTATAATTAATAGAACAGAATAAACAAAACGTCACTTTAAAAACATGACAAATCACAAGTGACTTCAAAATAATGAGAAAGGTTAAAAAAATTGAGTAATTTTTGAAAGTTTGTATTTCTCCACCTAATGTCTGTGGGTGATTTTATTTATTCATTCGGCAGTCACTTATTCAGTGTCCAGTGCCAAGCACAATGCAGGGCAGAGAATACAAGATGAATCACACATGGTTCCTGTGTGCATGGAGGAGATAGCCTAGGAGAAAAATATTTCTGTCACAAACTGGAAGCAATGCAGACTTACCCTTCAATGTGTGGTTAAATGCATGCTAAGTAATGTTGCAAGAAAGATACACAGCTGTTAGAAATGATGTGTTTAAAGAATTCAGTGAGATATGAAAATGTTATATACAGCTTAATGAAAAATGGAAGTTCACAGTAATGGAAAAATCCTATTACTGTATATACAAATGGAAAACCTCTACTATCAAATATATAAATGTATTATTGTTAATTTTTTTTTTCTCTTAGAGCATGTGTGTATTTTACTATAACTGTGATTTCTAAACTCCCAGGGGGCAGTGGTGAGGCAGTGGTTATAGGAAATTGTGTCCCCTCTCCGCGCTTCAGGTTCCTTACCTATAAAATGAGGGAAACGCCTCCTGTCTCAGGTAACAGGTAAGACTCAGTTCAGAGATGTGTGCCCTGCATTGTCCCCTCACGAAGTGGGTGATTAGGCTTAAAAACAAAGCCTTTTTCTGAGGCCCTGAACATTTCTAGATGCATGTGATAGAAAAATAGTACATGTATTTTTAAAAAATTTCATTGGAAAAGTTGTTACTGAACTTTCTAACTTATTTGTTCTCACTGCCTAGGTTACCCTTTCCCTACTGCTCCTCCTGTGGATCCATTTGCCAAAATCAAAGTGGATGACTGTGGACAAACTAAGGGATGCTTTAGGTTGGTAGATCTGCGAGTCGGGTCACTTTAAGACTAAGACATTGATGTACTTCTCACGGTAGTATTGAGATTGCATGGAGGTCGCTCTAACCCGGGGTCTGTACCCCTTCATAACTTGTCCCTGCTTATCCGGCAGGGGCGTGGGTGGCACAGGCAGCAATAGACAAGTCTAATACCTAATTCCTTTCCCAATAGTCATGACTTAGTGATCTCTGTATGATACTAACTAGTCATTAAGCAGTGATTATTGTATTTAGCTTGTTATCTCGGGTGTGGCGAGTCCTTACATGATTATTAGTAGTAGTCTATCAAGACATGATGGACTGGAGCTAGAAAGCAGTCATGTAGACAGTGGGCCTCCCACCTGGATAGCTCTGCTTTGTTGGAAAAGCCTCCTTTTCTTTGAATTCTTTCTTTCCTGAAACAAATTGTCCTTGAGTAAAGATTTTGTTGGCTACTGCTCTGTTTTTTTGCTTTTGTTTTTGTTTATTTTTGGTTTGTGTTTTTTTTTTCCTTGTTCAGTGCTCAAAGTCTTGGGAGGGGCAACTGAATTCTAGGGGTTTTGAGCTTTCTTTGGATTATAAGGGCTTCGAAGGAATTTTTTTAAACCCAGTAGTACTGGTATTGAGAAAGGTGGCTAGCAATGTAGAACTCTAGTGATTGAGGGATGTTTTTGAGAAGTGAAGGAATTCAGTGCCCTGCTAGCTTCAGAGTGACCTGTTTTCTGGCCCATTTACTCCTCTGTTAGCTTTTCTTAACGTTTTTCAGCTTTTTTCACCCCAGTTCCACGTTGTCTTGAACATACATCTCTTCCTGGCTGCTCAGAGTAGCTGCCAGCACGGTGGCACGGTCTCTGCCTCCCTCCTCAACCAATACTCAGCAGTTTTGTATCTTGTTTCTTCAGATACCTTCCATCTGAGTTTAGATTGTCCCGCCCATTGCTACAATTTTCTGTCATTTTGAAAAAGGGTTTAAAACAGTGTTCCTCTAACTAGGGCTCGTCAGTTCTTAAAGGATCCACAAGTTCTTTGTAAGAAAATTCAAGTTTGTGTTTTTAATAATGTTCCTTTAAAAAAAAAAAAAGAATGTATCTACAATCTGATTACTTGGGAAACGACCTTATACTGGTCCATGCGTTAGGGTCTGAATTTGTAATTGTGTTAGCACCAAGCAGCCCAACAGAGGAAAGCCGCATTTTATAAGGAGATGATACATTCCTGCTCAGCGACTGCCAGATGAGGTATTCATTTGGTGCATTGTACATATGAGGGCTTTGCAGCAGTTCAGACAGATGAAAGCGGAGGAGGGTGGAGTCAAGTGTTGGAGTAAGAACATGCTCAGTGAGAAGAACATTATTGTTCTGCGTGTAAGCAGAATTTTACTTCCGGTAAAACCACATTGTCCAGCGCATAAATGCTGCGAGTTTCAATGTTCCTGGCTTTGTAGTTAAATGTATATCTATTTTGTAAATCGATGTTAGTTTAATTGCAAATCTGAAAGTAAAATGGATTGGTATACATTTCATTCACAAAAATAATTTAAATTATTAACTTGGGGAATTTTTTCCTCTAAAAGGGATTCAGAAATAATTCGCTAATACCTGATATTTGAGAGACTCTAATATAGTGCACAGAACACTGGCTAGGAGTTTGGAGGCCCAGGTTCGAGTCCCGCTGCAGCTGCTGATGCACTGTGCAACCTCAGGCAAGCCCCTTCCCATCTCTGGGCCCAGTTTACATGTAGATAAAGTGGAGCACGTCATCTCCGAGGTCCCTCCTCACTGACTAAAACTGTGATTTTGAGCAGGTAGCAAAGATCTAATTTATTCAATTTTAGCATCCTGCCTGATACATAGATGCTCTCTTACTGTATTTAGAATAAGTAAATGAAGAAGCAATAATGTCTGTTTTGATATCTCCTATAGATATGGCAAACCGGGCTGTAATGCAGAGACCTGTGACTATTTCCTTAGCTACAGGATAATAGGGGCTGATGTGGAATTTGAGCTGAGTGCAGACACAGATGGCTGGGTAGCAGTTGGATTCTCTTCAGACAAGAAAATGGTAAGATGTACATCATGATAGAAGCAGATTTTTCTCTTTAGTTTGCTGTGCAACTTTAGATTTTAGAGAATGAGCATGGTTATGTTTCTCTAAGCTACCGTGACACTTTTAAATGAGAGAAGCTAATTTCTGGCATTTGATTGTCTTTTGCAAAACCAAAGCAAAGCAAAGAAATCCATCAAAGCAGTATAATGATTATATTAGTTATGACTCTCTGGTTGCAAATTAAAAAAAAAATCAAGCTAGCTTAAACAGAGACGAAAGAGTTGGTTATGAGAACACAAGATGTTTCTTGGTACCTGTATTCATCAGCTATTTCCACAGTAATGCTGCAAGAAAAGCTCCAAATCTGCATGGTTTTTGACAGTAAGCATTTATTTCTTGCTCACATGTGTGGGGATTAGCTGGGGCTCAGCTGGGCTTGACTCCAGTCCATGGGTTGGATTCAGGCCTCTTTCTAATCATGCTGAAACCAGCACCTACAAAGATATGTTGTTTTCATGGCAGAGGTAGAGCCATCTATGGTGCAAGAGCCATCCACAGCTTGTTTCAAACCTCTGCTCGCATTACGTCTGCTAACATTCCATTGCCCAAAGTTAAGTCACACAGCCAAGCCCAGAATGAAAGAGCAGGGATGTACACTCCCCCACTGAGAGGCCCTGCAAAGGTGTGGGTATATAATACCACCATAGGGGAGTGAAGCATTGGGTCTAACAATTCAGTCTTCCACAGTACCCATGAGCAAGAACACATCTGGACCTCAGAAAGGACTGTGACCAGGAACAGGCAGGGCTTCAGGAACCTAGGCAGCTGTCTATCTCTTACCTCAGCTTCTCTCTGTATCTCTACTGCATTCTACCCATCTTTCCTATCTTTTTGTTGAAGTTCTTCCTGAGATCATTGAGAATCTTTATAACCAGTGTTTTGAACTCTGCATCTGGTAGATTGTTTGTCTCCACTTTCTTTAGTTCTTTTCCTGGAGCTTGGTTTTGTTCCTTCATTTGAGACATGTTTCTTTGTCTCCCCATGTTGACTGCCTCCCTGTTTTTGTTTCTATGTATTAGCTAGAGCTGTAATGTCTCCCGGTCTTGGTAGAGAGATCTTGTATAATAGGGTCCTGTGGGCCCCAGGGTTATTGTCTCCCTGGTCACCTGAGCCAGGTGCTCCCACTGTGTTCCTTGTGTGGATTGTGTGTTCCCTCCTGTTGTAGTTAAGCCTTTGTTGCTGTTTACATGTTATTGAGAGGGATTGGACTCTCAGGCTGATTGGTTGTGAGGACTGGGTGTGACTACAGTGGAGGAGTTGCGGTGCAGGGGCTGACCCTATGGAGTGGGATTCACTGTGGCGGCGCTCCGGTGCCTGCCTAGTTTTCCCTTTGGGTATGTTGTTTGTGGAGGTGATTGGGTGGTGTTGGGAGTGGTCTGAAGCTGGCTACTGAGTGTATTGGTTCTGGGGTCTCTTAGGAGAGGCTTTGTTGTAGACCAAGATCAGCCGCTGCCCAGGACCACATGATAGGAGCTACAAAGTGATATGCAGATGATTGCCACTTGTTCTGGTGCCTGTGATACGTTACGCTGTGAATCGAGGCCAGCTGCTGCTAGTGCTAGGCTTGGGTTGCTTAGCAAGAAGTATGGGGCATGCTGAGGCCAGATGATGCTTGTTTGGGGTTTGTGAACCTTTGGAAGATTTTAGGAAAATCTACAGCATGAGCCAAGATAGGCCATTTGTATGGAAAAGCCATTGGAAGTGGCTTGTGTGGGCCCACTAATTGAGTGGGGCAGAGTCTCAGGGAATCACCAGGGAGGGGTGAATGTGTTAGCCAAGCTGATGGAGACTCAGACATGGCGCCCACTTGCATCTGCACCATGGATGTGGGGAGTGCTCAACAAAGGAACAATGGCTTCTGCCATTGTCTGGGAGAAAGCTGTGCCACCAGCCCCTGCCCTGAAGTCAGACAATTCAGTTCCTTCCCATATGTTCCCATTGTATAGGACAGATTTTTTTGTAAAATGACCCTCAATTTGGATTTGTTGATTATATCTTTATGATTAGCTTAGTTTATGTAGATTCAGCAAGAATATTAGCTATCAGGAGGAGCTTGATGTCCACTATTGTGATGCTAACTTTGATCACTTGGTTAAGGCATTTTAATGGCATTTAAAATATTGAGTTGTTGGAGGGCTGGCCAAGTGGCTCAGTTGGTTAAGCGCTCGTTCAAGAGTGCGAGCTTTGAGCAACAGCGGTTCGATGCCCAGTCTGAGCTAAGTTGCCACTGAGCTGCCAACAGGTGGCAGGATGGCTCAGCTAAAAAAAAAATAAATAAATAAAATTTTAAAAAAGTAAATAAAATATTGGGTTGTTGGAAAAGTCATGACGCATTTTTGCACCAAAAAACATAGAAAAGATACATCATGACTTTTCTGACAACCCAATAATTTGGGGGAGTGGGATTTCGCATTACAGAGGTGATGGAATATATATTTCTAAGTGAAATTTCTTTCTAGCAGAAAAGTTTGCAAAACACACCTTTGACTTTTTTCTTTATCGTTTTTCACATTAGGGTGGTGACGATGTCATGGCCTGCGTCCATGATGATAATGGCAGGGTCCGCATACAGCATTTCTATAATGTAGGCCAGTGGGCAAAGGAGATTCAGAGAAATCCTGCCAGAGATGAAGAAGGCGTTTTTGAGAACAATCGAGTCACCTGCAGATTTAAACGCCCTGTGAACGTTCCCAGAGAGGAAACAATTGTCGATCTACATTTGAGTTGGTATTATCTGTTTGCTTGGGGTCCAGCCATTCAGGGTAAGCCTACATTTTAGCACCTGGATTCAACACCAGACACCGCTGTGCTTGTGTTTATTATTTATTGGGCAAGAGAGTGATAAGCACTTTGGATAATATAAAAGAGAAAGGAGATATCCTGCCTCCTGAAGGTAATAATGGACTTATTATACACATGGACATATGGACAAATGGATAAGTTCTACGCATGCATAGCTAGAACAGCACAAGATAACATTTGATGAGCTCAGTGCTTAATGAAACAGATCATATGTGTGCTATATGTGGAGCATGTTCCCATTTACTCCTCACTCGTCCTTGAGAGGTATTAGGTCCTTATTTTAGAGAGATTAAGGAACTTGCTCAAGCCTATACCACTAGTTAATGGAAGAACAAAAATTCAAACCTATGTCTGTCTGACTTCAAAGTCAGTGAGTACTCTTAGCTCCTGTGCTCTAAATACAAAAATACTGAGCATTCTGGAGACTTCTCAAGAGATTGACACCAAGGGTTTCATTACTGCTCACTTTATGACTATTCTGATGGTCATAAATCCATCAAACTATCCTATAATTTAGCTCATCAATCCTCAAATTTTAACATGCATAGAAACTGCATGGCTATATCATTAAAGTGCAGTTTCAGTAGGTCTGGGGTGGGGCCTGAAAGTCTGCATTTCTAACAACCTTCCCACTGATGCTGGTCCATTGATGACCTCACTTTGGGTGGCAAGGCCCTTCAGCTTTCACCAACAAAACCCCAAGGATCTCATGAAACCTTTTAGAGGCTGCTAAAATCAAGGTACACCACGTCTTCAGCAATCCCCCAGATTGATCAGCCTAATGGCCTGACCAAGAATGGAAGGGAGTTATCTGCAAACCTTGTATGAGAACTGTTCTGGCTATCGGGGGTTGTATCTTTCTTTACTGTGTGCTCATCAACTATCTATTGCCTAATCTAATCTGTTTTGTTTTTTTCCTTCAAATTGTTTCCATTGATCGGTCTCGGAGATTTCATACCACTTTTTGCCTGTTTCTAATTGGGAAAACATTTTGATGCCTTCAGATTTGTGACATCTTTCCCATTCACTTATTTCCCAGATTACCGACAGTGGATCTGCATTTATATCTTTGAGTACTTTCAGTACCCTGGGAAATAAATTATATCTCAGCCTAGAGAAATGAACTCATTTAAAATAATGGGATTTGGCATCTAAAACTTTGGATTTGTGCATTGGTTTTGCCCCCTTGGTAGCTGTATCTAGCCTATATCTAAATTCTGAACTTCAATTTCTTTCTATCTAAAATGGGGATAATAATAATAATACTGACTTCATAGGATTATTGTAAGAATTAAGTGATAACCAGTATTTGAAATTGCTGTACAAATTGGAAAGTGCTGTACTTCGGAAGGTCATCTTCTTATGTATATTGCATAATAGCCTACTATTTGAACCTGCCTTGCCTGATAAGATCGTTCAGGACTTCTGTTGTTCTTCTCACGGTCTCCAAACAAATCAGGCACATTCCTATCCCATAGACAGGCTTGTGTTTTTCCTGTTTCTTGAATGCTCTTCTAACACCTCTCTATTGATCAAAACTATCCATCCTCTTAAGGTCTCTCAGAGGGGATACATTTTGAGCTGAGGTTTGAAGGGGAGCATGGATTAGATTTCTCTCGAGGAAGGCATAAACTAGAGTTGCTTGGTTAAGCCTAGGACTCCATGTAGGTGACCAATGAGTGAGGTTAGGTAGCAAAGATGAGTGGAATTTGTTCAGGGACAAATCTCGTGCCAACCTGAGGAGTTTGATTTGTGCTAACAGGAGCCAGCATTGACACTGGAGCAGGGAATTGACACGTCAAACTTGGCATGGCTTCCCCAGCAGATAGGACCTTAACAAGTCTCACTCTATTTCAAAGCATAACTTTGTTCTGCACTCACCTGCCTTAGTCTCTGTAACCCACTTTTCATGTGGATTATTTATATGGCTTATACCACAAGGATATTCATATGGATTAGGAGGTCAGGCACTTCTAATCGACGTCAGTTTATTAATCTCCTTTACATACAGTCTTTCCCTCTTTCCACTTCTATCCAGGTCAAAAAAAGTCTCCTGTCCAAATATTTATCTGATATCTTAATCCTTCTACGTTCTGTACCATTCCATCCCACTGTGCCAGGAAGACAGACAGACAGGCACACAAGAACACACCACCACCACTACCACCCACCATCGCACTTTCTCTGGTTTGGCCTGGGCAGGCTACTTCTCTATGTCCCACAGACAATGAGAGACAGGCCTCCATCTATAAGGAAGTTTAGTGTGGTCAGGAGCTGTTAATAATCCATATATAAAAATACGTATTTGAGAAAAAAATTAGTAGTTCTTGCTCTTTGAAATCAAAATACTGTTTTCCATTTGGTATTAATAAGGTAAAACTTATTAGAGACCTTAAAAGTAGGCATTCATTCAATATTAAGTAGCAGTCTTAAAACTGGGGTGTGGGCTGGCCTAGTGGCTCAGTTGGTTAAGAGCTTGCTCAAGAGTTTGAGCTCTGAGCAACAGCGGTTCAATTCCCGACCTGAGCTGAGCAGCCGTTGAGCTGCTAACCTGTGGCAGGATGGCTCAGCTTAAAAAAAAACAAACAAAAAAAGCAAAACAAACAAACAAAAAAAAACTGGGGTGCGATGGAGAGACCAATGCATTGTTTTGGTAGTGGGTGTGCATAGTCATGAGAACCAGTCTTTTTGAATAAATTTAATTTCTATGGTCTTCATTAAATTTACAATTATGGACAATTCTGATTGCTCTGATACTTGACTTCTGATCTTTATAATCACTGCTTTCGTATTCAGCATTAAAAACTTTTGTTTAGTTTTTCTGTTGTTTGTATGTATTATTTTAAATCTATGCTTTGTTTGATTGCCACCTTACTTTTTATTTCTTTGTTCAAGGCTCTATCACCCGACATGATATAGACTCACCACCAACTTCAGAGCGTGTTGTCAGCATTTACAAGTACGAAGACATTTTTATGCCATCAGCTGCCTATCAGACCTTCTCCTCTCCATTTTGTTTGCTTCTCATTGTTGCCCTGACCTTCTACTTGTTGATGGGAACCCCTTAATCACAGCTGCAAAGCCAACAGATTAAATGGATTAGAAAATCTTTAGTATAAATATATTTTTAAAGAATATTCAGTATAATTTTAGCTTCTATTATTTAAAAAAAGACTCCTATGATTTCAGCTTTTTTGGAAGAAAAAGCAAGCTTCTTTTCTAATCAAAGAGGATTGTGTAATAATGATCCCATACTTTTGGAAAGTACTTAAAATTTTTCTAAGCACTTTCGAGTAAGTTTTCTTATTTGAGCTTCACAACATCTCTGAGTTGGCTTGATGAAAATTACTATTGCCATCTTACTGAATGGGATTTGAGACCCAAGAGGGCTGCCTTTTTGTGACCCACATGCCCTGTCTCCTTGGCCACTTGGTCAGATAACACATAGCAAGGCAGAGAAAGAGCCAGACATAGAAATCATGTCTTTAAACAACCTTTACTCTTCCAACTATAACTCAGGAGACTTACATAGAGTATTATTACTAAAGCGAACTTCACTGGATGGCCCTAGTTCACAGACAGCCTTTTGGGCAGAACTTTCAAATTTCCATAAAGCTTAAGTGCTTTTGGATAATTAACACAGCTGATGGGGAGAGTGGGGGAGATTACAATGAGATGAAAATGATTCGTATTTATTTTAAATTTCCTCTGATCTAGTGAGTAGGTACGAGAAAACATTTTTTATTGCTGTTGGAAAGGTCAGAAACAGAGCTGAGTGTTCCTGAAGATTTAAAATTATGTTAATGATAAAAATATTGGCACTCTTAGCAATTAAAATTTGGACTCTTATACCACTCTACTTTATAAATTAAGGTATTCACCTGTGGTTACAGCTAATTCTGTTGTCAGAATCAGCATACACTGAGTATGATTAAATATATAATAGACTAATCATCTTAATAAAAATTTAAGGCATTTTGGTAATAAATCAACATTTTTGGAGATTGTAGAGATTTGGAGTAGAAACTTTTTAAAGATGAGATTTTTTAAATTAGAAAATGGGAAATGACCCATAAAGTGAATTCACCATTATCCATTGAGACTTGTTCAGACTTGTAAATTGGATTTGCAGTCAGCATAATTTATAATAATGCTTTGACTTAATGCATTTCCGTTTTTCCAAAGGAATCCAAAGGTTCTTTTGTGTCCAAATGTCTGTGTTAACAGCCATTTAGAGGAAAAGAATCAATAGATATGGTTTTGCTGCTGAGGCATTTCCACTGAGGAGCTCTGGAGTCCTCTGGCTTCCGGGAGTGGGGGGTGGGGGGGGGCATTGCTTTAAAGCTGGCTCCAACTTGGTGGTCTGTTTTGATTAAACAATACTGGAGACTGTGATTTCTAATGCCATCTTTGGAATTCATGTCAGAGGTGAAAATCCACCTGTAGGGAGATTTCAGATTCTTTTGGAACTGAACAAAAGAAAGGAAAATATTGAAATTCTGTGATGTTGCACAGATCACCAAGTACATCAGAGGGACGTAGGAGCTCATTGGAGATGGAGAGAGGTTACATGACATCAAGTGAGCAATGGAACTGGGTGGGGTTCAGACTCAAGACACCTGGTTCAAGTCCCTGGTTCCACTTGACTTCCATTGCTTCATCACTAAGCCCTCTGATCCCGGCTGAGGATGGCCTGTGAATCGCCTTCTAAGCTATAGTGGTTGTTTAGTAGTGAAGATACTAAGTCTGCAGGCACCCACATTGTAAATAAGAGAGCAAATATTTTTTATATTTCATTCTTTTATGTGTATAATAATAGTTCCGCTATAAATAGGTTAAAACTAAAGAGACTTCAGCTAGTCTCTCTAGCTGGCAGGGAAGGAATAAATTAATGGATTTTTCTTCTGCTTACATCTCAAGTCAAGCTAATTATTTCACGAATTGTTTCTGCTTTGATGACCAGTTTGACCAGTTTTGCACATTTGTGCTTAGAACGTTCAGTGATTTCTCATTGCCATTAGTGTAAAATGCAAACCACTTTGATGACCTCCAATATCTATCATCTTTTGTCAGCACTCCTCACTTGCTATGACCTAGCAAGACTGAACTGCCCTCAGTTCTTCAGACCTGCTTTCTCAGCTCTCATGTGCCCTATGCCCAAACATCCTCCACTTCCTGTGCTCACTAAACTCCTGCTCATCTTTCAGGTCTCAGTTTAAGTATTCCTTCCTCCAATCCACTGGATTAGGTAGGTTTAGGTCCCTGCCAAATGCTCCCATAGCATACTGGGCTTCCCCATATGGGCTTCCCCATCACACTTTACTATAATTGCTGGCTCGCCCTCCCTGCTAATTCCCTAGCAGGGACCATTTCTTGTAACTCGACATTGTAACAGACACTACTGCGTGGTAGGTACTCAGTAATCACTTGTTGAACGAATAAAGAAAACTGTACTTCTATGGCAAGTTTGTATGGTTCGGAAGACTTGTATTTCATACGCATTGTCAGACTGGACGTTTTTGTATTTTTCCACCTGTGATCAAACCATAAGCCATCCTTTTAGCAAACACTGAATTTTGTCTTTGGAAACATAAACAGAAAGGTCATTAGTAACAGTGCTGTTTTGCCTGCAAGACACAGTTGACGTTTTTAACAATAATCATTGTTCAAAAATAAGAATTCACAGACCAAGGATGCAGGACAGCATTTAACCATCATCTCAGAGAATCATGAATTTATCATTAAAACTATGAAGTAAAAACTCTGTGGACCCCAATTTCATTAATTTTTACCTAATATAAGAGAATCAACTGCTATTTTATCTCTGTATTCCATTTTCTAGCATAGTACTTGTTACCGGGGAGAGACATTACCGGTGTGTTTTTGTAAAATACCTGAGTAGAATACTAATGCTAGCTATACGTATCTAGTGCTGTTCTAAGCACTCTACATGGATTAACTCATTTAATCCTCACAACCACCATAGGAAGTCAATTCTATTATTAATCCTATTTTACAGCTGAAAAAACTGAGGCTAGTCATTTGGCATAAATTACCAGTGCTGGCAAGGACCTTAGAGACTCTTTAATCCAATGCACTAACTTTATAAAGGGCCTAGGGAGGAGATATGATATCCTACACATTCATACCTTAATGCACATCCATTAAGCCTTTTATTTAATGGAACCCATTATCCACACTCAAATTAGCCAGGTGTTTGTTTGTTTTTTCCCCCTTTACAATGAAAAGGACTTTTTATAATTCTAGTTGGGGAGAAAGGTATATTTTACTTTCTATCAGCTTTTTCTCTTCTTACATTTTGTTTCTTTATTTTACCAGTCATTTTAATGCTTTTAATAGTTTTTTTAAAATAATACACAGATTGAACAAGACTAGAATGTATTTGTCTTGGTTAATTTTTAAAAGTGGCTTGCCTAAAACCCAGGTGTTCTAACATGGAGTCCAATGCCCTTTCATTGCTCCCCTTTGGTTTCAAAGATGACTTGGTCAACATGATTTGAGATAAAGTGCAGGAGCCATATTTAATTATCTGAAGTTGGCTTTTGTCATTAGGAAAACCAGAAAGTTTGGACAACTCAGAGATGGATTTCCATCCCGGATGGTTTTTACTACTATTTCTGTAATTAAGTTTACTATCTATATACAGGATTTTGTGCTTAAAAGATATTGCTCCTGAGGTGGTGTGTCATTCTTAGTTCTAGCCTAGGGGTCAGCAAATTTTTTTCTGTAAAGAGACAGATGGTAAATATTTGAGGCTTTGTGGTCTGTGTGTCAGCTGTTCAACTCTGTTGTAGACAATACATAAACCAATGAGCATGGCTGTGTTCCAATAAAACTTAATGGACACTGAAATTTGAATTTCATCTAATTTTTACATGTCACAAATAGTCTTCTTTAGATTAAGAACAATCATTTAAAAATGTAAAAACCATTTTTAGCTTGCAGGCCACACAAAAGAGGCAGCAGGTTGGGTTGGGTTTATGGACCGTGGTTTTTTCACACTTGCTCTCAGCTAAGAGACACACCTATTTGTCAGGATCAGTTGTAAAGTACACTGCCAGTAATGTCTTACTGGTTAATTGTAAATAAGTTGAAGTTAGTACTTTGTTCATAAAATAAAATAAATGATAGCTGACTTATTTTTATCTCGATAATGGCATTTCCACGCACTTGCACTCTAACATATTTTCCAGAATTGATGCGAAAGAGGTGGCAGTTAATTCAGAGCTGGGCCAGCAGTTTTGTTTTACCTAAACTGTGGCAGTCGTGACTGACTTTTACTGTTGAATTGCCCTTCATGGTGGGGATTACAGTGTTTCTGAGTAATCCATTTCCCTGCAGACATTTCTTATTAAAGTTGGATCAAAATCTGCTACACCCACAGGAATGTTTTACACATGTGACAATGGCATCTATCTTGTGTATCATAATGGAAAAATGCTGGAGAACCACTGTAATTGGCCAAATGCTGAGATGTGTATACCTTGTTGTATATAATTGCATTGTATGTCTTTGTTCTCTAAACAGAATGGTTTATGTTTAGTGAACAGTTTGAGTATTCTCGGTGTTTGTATATATATATTTGTATATACACAATAAGCCTATATATACATACTATGACCATTTGAAGGTCTTTGCCAAGATTGTTTTTGTTGCTGATTTCTGGAATACTTTAAAACCCAAGAGATAAAACATTGTGTGTATTACAGGCAAAGCTACCCTTGAGTTTATAGCCATTTCATTTGTAGAAAGGATTCCTGGATCCTGTATTAAGCCTTGCCGTCTCCATTCAGCATTACATGAATCGTTTAGAATGTATAAAGTATCATGGTTGAGTTTTGGACTTTTCTATACTGCTAGTTAAGAAACCGAGACTAGTATTAACTGAGTATATGGCATGTTGATGCAATTCATACCCGTTTGTATTTAATTAGACTTTTTATTTAGTTATTCAATTATTTAGTTTCAGGTTGGACTTCTTGGTTTTTAGATTTAATAGAATGGCTTGAGTTCCTGTTCATGAAAAATGGGGGCTATGCTAAAGGCGATTTTAAATAGGACTGAAAACTTAAGTGAATCATCTATTTCTGTGGGATTTTTCACTTAAAATGGTATACTGATATTTAACTAATGTTTTCAGTGTTTCCCCCTGGATATTTGCTGTTGGGCAAATTCTCCTGGAGAGTAGAGAGTGATTCTCTTGGGTTTCGGGGTGCTGCAGGGGTTGTGGCATTCACCCAGGTCACTCGAGCAGTCACCATTTCATCCCATAGAATGTCCTGGCCCCCTGGAAGAGTAAATGCAGCTTCTCCACATGCCTTATTCCCACAGATGCGCTGAGATGCTGGATCAACCTGGCTCCAGGAGTATTAATATCCTTTTTTGAGACTGTCTATAAAATACTATTTTGTAAAAACTATGCCTTTAAATAGACATTGATGGGTTATATTTGTTTTATAATAATTGTGTACTTGATGTTCAATTGTGATTGATTTTGAGATTTATGTATATTTATAAGCCTATCCCCTGTGAATTTTTACTCTAACATGTGTGGTTACCTTACTAATAAACACATGGATTTCTATTTACGTAAAGTCATTGTAGCAATATTCCTAGATGCTCTCTAAATGATTGTTCTACCCATTTGCCATCACCGCTACTTTTATCCTTAGAGGATTATGTTACAGTTAGAATATATTAACTAGGACTTTAAGATAGAAATTCTCAACATGGTTTGGAATTCTTCCTGTTGATGTAATTAAAGTTAGTTTATAATTCCTTATGGCTTTGCTCTTGTGTATTTTTTGTTTTCTGTTTGTTTGTTTTACATCCTTTCATTAGTAAAGTCTTTCTGAAGTTATGGACCTTACAAGAAGATGTCAGTGTCTTGTCTGACAAAGAGGAAAATCATGTTGCAGTAGTAGGTAAAAATCCTTGTAGAGAAACAATTTGCAAAAGAAATCTGTATTTAAAGCTTCAGCTTAATACCTTTATCAAATAGTAAACAGAGGCTTACAATAATCCCATTTAAAGCATATTACTTGGTTAATAGTGCCTAACTAGCTCTAAGAATTTCAATTATGAGTCTTATTGGTAACTAAATCATATTATATGTGAAGAATAGTTAGAGTTTGGTTGTAGAGCCCTGTGAATCATCCATAGAAATTGCTATTATGTAGCAGCTGAGCTGCTGGTATTACTGGGGCTAGGTTGAGAAACTCAAGGAATGTCATGCTAAGAAAGAATTTGGCATTATCAACTCTAATCCTAACCGCCCCTCCCCCCCAAAAAACCCCCAAATACTTATTGTTTTTTGGTATTTTAGGTGTTCCCTATGGTATTTATTTTGCAGTATGCTCTGTGGGTAGCCCAGCTGTCAGACCTGACCCTAGTTGATGTTTGATTTGGCAATTTCTTAGGACTCAGTTGCAGGGGCAAAGGCCAGGGGATAAGATGTAAGAAAAGACAGCTGAAATGGAATGGACATAGTCATTGGCATCCAGGAGGTCAAGAAGCTTTAATCACTTGTTCATTCATTCAATAAATACATATTTATTGAGGACTCTGATGTGCCAATCCCTATGCTAGACCCTGCATATGGAGGATTCCAGAAACAACAGCTCCTGATTTCTGTCCCCAAGAGGCTCATGACCTAGTTAGGGAGTTAGACACCGTGATAATACCTTTTGTTGACGAAAGTGGTAAGGAAATGCTCAGGTGTGGTGCAAACCTGGAGTAGGGACCCTCACCTAGCTTGGGACGGCCAGGAAAGCAGGAGGTGGCACTGAAGCTGAATCTTAAGGAAGGGGTGGGAGTAAAGCAGGCAAAGGGCATGAAGAAGCATCTCTAAGAAAGGGAAGAGCAAGCATGACGTGTTCGGGAACTACTGTCATTTGACAAGATTTGTCTCAGTTTCCTATTGCTGCTGTAACAAATGACCATACATTGGTGGCTTAGAGCAACAGACATGTATTCTCTTGCATTTCTGAAGGCCAGAAGTCTAATTGAATCTTACGGAGCTAAAATCAAGGTGTTGGAACTCCAAGGGAGGATCCTTCATTGTCCCTTCCAGCTTCTGATAGCTGTGGGTATTCCTGGCATCCTGACTTCATTGTCTGCCTCTGCGATCAGATGCTTCTCCTCTTACGTAGTCTAATCTTCCTCTGATAAAATACTTGTGATTGTATTTAGGCCCCTCCCATAGAATCCAGGATAATCTCCTCATCTCAAAATCTTTTAATCTTACCTGCAAAGTGCCTGTTACTATGGAAGGTGACACAATTCTCAGGTTCTAGGGATTAGGACCTGGATATCTTTGGGGGCCACCACATTACTGCTAGATAAAGGACAAAGAAGGGAGTGGGGAGGGGTGAGGCAAGCCCCTCACCTTGGACCTTGGAAGTCGTAGAAAGAGCTTGGATGCCTTCCCACAAGGTAAGGGGGCTTTGAAGGGATCAGATTGTGTGTTAGATCACTGCGGCTGCAATGTAGAGAGAATTGATGTGTGAGCAAAAGGGCAGATCAGAGACCAACTAGAGGCTGTAAGGACATCAGTGTGGTGACAAGAGTGTACAAAAAAGTGATGCTTAGGATTTAAAACCACCGGACTTGGTTCTCAAATGAAGATAGTTCATTTATAAATAAAGAGGGATGAGTCTGGCCAATTTGAAATGCATCCACCATCTTGGTTTTGGTCTTGCTCTGATTTGCAGCAGACCGCTGGCTGTTGGATGGCCTCAGCCTTAGTTGGAGCATATTGTTGGGAGTGGAGCAAGGAAGGGGCAGGTTAAGAATTTCAAATGCTGATCCCTAACTCTCAAATTTCAACCATTCCAGATAAAGTGTTCCAGATAAAATCACTCCTGTGAAGACAAGGAGCCACTAGTAAAGGACACTTAAAGCCAACTTTCCAGACCGGCAATTTTGGTTTTCAGCAATAATAGTTAATCACAAAATTTACCTTGCAGATGCCCATTCTCCCTTTCAACCTCCCTCTCACCCTAGAAGAGGAAGGGGGAGTTACTTTGGTTGCAGACCTTTAAAAAAAGATATGTGCACCCTCCTTTCCACTCCCCCCCCCCCCATCCCCGCCTCTCCCCCTCAAAAAAGAACTTCCTGAGCGTCTTTTTATTCATCTGGCCCTTTCCTGGGTACATGGGGCTCAATTGAGTTGGTTGAATCAACTTGATAATCTTTTTACTAACCTTTTTACAAACTGATAAAATTGGCTTTGTTGGAAAGTTAGCTGCAGCTGGACAGCACAGCCAGAAGAACAGGAACCCAGACTAGAAAGACAGGAATCTGGAGGCAGGAAAGTCTCCACTCCGCTCAGTGAACTGTCAGGACCTGTCCTGTACGTGAGGTCATATGTCCCAGTATGGGAAGAAGAGAGAGAAGGGGCAGCAGTTAGGGTGTCAGGTAGGGCCTCATGGTATCGGGCTTGTTTGCACCATTTGTTTTTCAGCTGTTAAGATTTAAAAAAAAACAAAAAACGAACTCATAATTTATCACATACACAGCTGTTTTCTTATAAACCACATTTTTACCTACATTTTTAGTCTGCCAGTTGCATCTAGTATCAGATACTCAATGGTTAGGTACAGCAGGGAAAGCAAATTAGTTCCATCTGGTCTGCCTGCTTTGTTCAGTTAGTAGTGGCTCTCTAGAATGTTCTGCGGAGAAGGATTCTGAGGCTGTGCCTGGGCTCCGTGAGAAAGAGTTCAGTGGTTGATTCGCAAAGGACTTTGCTAAAAAGGAAAGTGGTAGCTCATATTTGGAATCTGAATGCGTGCCTGTTTGATTACATTTTCAAATGCTCCCTCCTCCTGCACCATACATACCACTTTATACATGATGTACACACTCCACTGCAAGCCCTGGACTTTGTACAAAGCAGGTGCTTGGTACAACTCAGTAAATGTGTATGGAGGACTGACTCTAAGGAAGCACAATGCCCTGGAGCATCTCCTCCCTGCTTGCGTTTGTTTTCTCTCTCGGGCTGTTATCTTGATACCTGGGGAGTGTGTGGACAGTAACGGTTGTTTTAGGAGATGCCCCTTGGCTTCTCTAGGAGAAAATGAAGAGTCACCCTGAGAGCCACTATCAGATTCTCACCATGTCCCAGCCATTGTATTGCTGCAACCAATGATGTAGATGTTATTTTATCAGCCAGAAAGTTTTCTGTTGCAAGAAACTTAAACCTGAACTGAAGCTGGATTAAATGATTAGGAAATTTATTGACTCATGTAACAGGAGGGCCAAAGGCAGTGTGGTCCCAGGGTCAGCCTGATCCACTCCTCTGAATCCATTATACCTCCACTGTATCCTGGATGCCTATGAAGTCTGTTCTTCCCTGAGGTTACTGGAGTGAGTTGCTGTGTGAGGCCAACAAGGAAAACTCAAGTAGCCTCGTATTTTGGAGGGGATGCCTAAAAGCACTTGTCCTATGAGCTAGACATGTGAGTGAACTGTGGGTGCCCTTTTCAAATTCAGTTTGTAGGCCCTACATCCCAGTATTTTAATTTTTCTCTGATTTCAACCCTAAGGATACCTAGAAGAAACATCCTATACTATTTCTCACAGGAAACAATAACAGGTTTAAAAAAAAACGCTATATCGCTCATTCATTCACTTGCTCAGCAAACTTGGAGTTTCTAATCTGTATCGCAAATGCCCTGTGCTGTGTCAGGTGCTGGGGACACAGAATTGAACCCATGTAAACCACTGACTTGGACTGCAGTGTGCTGAGTGCAATTGTAGAAGGGTGAGCAAAATGCTGTGGGAACCCAGCCTTGTGTTAATTTCTACTTCATTTCTGTTAGAGCTCATTCTTGACCAGAAATTCTATCAGAGACATGTCAATTCTATTGCTTTGGCCACTAGAACAGTTTTCAAATGGTCAGCAATTTTGCCTTTCATTGAGACTTGGAAACAGAGCATCATGACAGGACATTTTTGATTTGTTGAGCTGGGGCCCCAAAATAGTTTGGGGAACACTACGCCTGCCCCTTCATGTCCAATGCATACATATGCCAATTTCTGTTTGCATCCATTGGTAAATGCTTTTGTTACGCAACATGGGATCTTTCATTTTGTAACTAGAGGAAAAGAGCCCAGTCTTTGGTTGGAGGAGGACAGAAGGGATGGTTTGGTCTTTGTTCCCTCATGGACCCTTTGGATGGGTTTTGAGCCCCTGTGGTTAGAAGACTGAAGGCCAGACAAGGAACTCTTCATGAGAGGAGATATAATTCATTAGGCACAACTGACCTGGTTGAGGGCATGAGTGACAAAAGGGCACAGAGTCTGCAAGTCAGGGAGAACCTCCTCCCCAGCTCTGAGTGGAACCCAGCTCTGCTTTGGTACCCTGAGGATTAGAGGTTTGGAAGTGTCCAGGATCTGGAAATAGTGACATCGGCTCTGGAAATCTCATGACGGGCACTGAACTCAGTGAGCTGTATGGGCAGTAGGGTGGACATAGGATGGTTGGTGGCCAACTCATGTCTGAGTATTTGAGAGGCACCCCTTTGGGACTTCCTAGAAATCACTGAGGACTTTTTTGGAGGGAGACTGAGGCATTGTTGTTATATAAATGGGAGCTTGAGTCAGTGTAAGATGGATGCTGAAAGCAAACATGACCATAATTTGTAATCATAATTTCAGCAGCCCTAGACAAAGTAGTTAAGAAGCAAAGTAATACGTAGGACAACTGAAGCAAAGTATTTACAGAGTCAGAGTCCAAAGACCACTTGAAAAAACAAGGACTGTGACCTGAGACCCAAAAAATGAGATGGAAAGGAATTACTTTTTCTTTAAGTTTAAAATTTATTAAAAACAGAAAAGGGATAACTTACAGGGTTTTGAAGCACCCCCATGTTGAATACTCAGTAAAGGCTTCCTTGCTTCTCCTAATTATAATAATAATAATAATAATACTGTTTGAGATGTTTTATGAGTAGTAGGCTTGGATCCTAGGACCTTTCCAACAGAATGAAGTACCTTGCACTGCCCCAGAGCGTCCTTTTTCTCTCCTGAAACAAGAGCTTCTATTATTATCATCCCCATGTGACAGAGGGAAAATTGGGGGTGGGGGCTTAATTGACTGACCCCAGGCCTCAAAAAGAGATAGTGGCAGTTAGAGACAGGAGTTTAGGGTGTTCCCACACTGACAACTACACCAATGGTTGTCAACAATAGCTGCACATTACAGTCCTCTGAGGAACTTTAAAAAATATGCCAAAGGATCTCTGTCAGACCAATTAGCATAGTAGGTAAGAGGATAGACATAGGAAACAGGCTCTGAGTTCAAATACTTCTTCTGCCTTACTAGCTGTGTGACCTTGGCAAGGTACTTAACTTCTCTGTGCTTTAGTGTTCCTCTTTGTAAACGGGATAATAATATCACCTTCTTTGTAGAGTTATTCTAAAGATTTAGTTAGTTAATGGGAATGAGGCACTTATAACAAGGCCTGTCATATGTAATCGCTATTAAAATACTCTGCTAAATATACCACAGTAAACAAACACTGTTAAGTGTTTATTAATTAAATCAATACAATAGAATTTGGAGATCGGTGTTTTATAAGTACTCCCCCTAGGGATTCTAATGTGTAGCCTGGGTTTTCAATCTGTGTGTGTAGTGCCTCTTTTGGGGATTCCGCCTCCCGAAAAGTTGTCATTAACGGATGGGCGAAGGGAGGTTTGTTTTTTGTTTTCTTTTTCCCCCTCCAGATTTTGAGCCCAGAAACCTGTTACCTGGATCCTGCAGGACCAATGGGTGAAAAGAGCCCGGGAGCGAAGGGATCCGCCCTATACTCGCTGGGAGTTGTAGTTTGCCAAAGGTCCTGGAAGCGCTCGGTGGCCGGCCAGAACTACAACTCCCACAACGCCGCGCGCCGCCCACCCTGCCTCTCGCGGGTGGCTCTCTGCGGGCCTCCCAGTATCGCCTCTCGGCGGCGGCAGCAGCAGAGGCGCTATGGCCGACGGCGGCGGTCCTGCGGAGCCACCCAGTCCGCGGGACTCCCCAGGCCCGGCGCCACGGGCCTTGCACGCGGTCAGGCCGGGCGGCGGCGGCGGCGGCGGCTGCGGGGAGACCCCGCGGACGGCGGCGCTGGCGCTGCGCTTCGACAAGCCCATCAAGCAGGCCTTCTACAACACGGGGGCCGTGCTTTTCGTGTGCCTGTGCTGTGGCGCTGCCGTGCTCGTCTACTTCATCCTGGAGGCGTTCCTGCGGCCGTTGCTCTGGGCCGTGCTGTGCGGCACTTTCCTGCACCCGTTCAAGAGCTCGCTGACGCGCCTGGGCCGCCACTGGCTGCACCGCCTGCAGCGCGCGCACACGCCCATCGTGCTGGCCGCGCTGTTGCTGCCGCTCTGCTTCGCCGACTACGGCGTCGAGGCCCTGGGCGAGCAAGTGCTGCGCCGCCGCCGTTTGCTGCTGCTGCTGGGCGCCGGCGGCCCGCTACTCTATGGCTTCTACAGCCTTGGCAGCTACCTGGGCGTGCAGGTGCTGCTGGCTCAGGCCGGCGCTCTCATCTGCTGCGGGCTGGACTATTTCAGCAGCCTGTGGGTGAGTGAGCCTCGGCCCGGTCCCTCCGTGGCCCCGGCGGGCACGCAATACCCTTCTGTACAGCCCCGGTGTCCTGGGGTGTGATCCTGCAGCTCCTCCTCACTATGCAAGGGGGACCAAAGGTCCACACCTGCGCAGCAGTGTCAGTCTCCGCCTTCCTTCCCCTGCACCTGAGGAACTTGGCACACTTCCTCTCAAAAGAGAGGGCGGGCGTGGTTTGAAACAGCCTCCCTGCCCCTCGCCCCCATCCTAATAGACCCTCCTAGGAGACCCTGTTGAGAACACTGTTCCACTTTGCAGGTCGGAGCTCCAGAGCATCGGCAGGTGGACTTGAATTTATTCCTGGGCATGGAGTTGGGGGAGGCACCGGCCATCCTCAGTTATGCTCACGTGGGACTTTCCTGGATATCACAGCTGGAAGGGACCTTAGAGATCCTACCTAGTTCAACCTCTCATCCTACAGATAGGAGAGACGATTTCTTACCCGGCTAGGGCTAGTTGGGGAGAAGTAGGGGACTGGTGACTTAAGTTTCTCATGTCCTAAAACAGCTTTCTTAATAGTCTGGGGCTGCCTCTCAGTTCAGGTGATTTCAGTGTACTCTGTGCGAGGCACGGGGTGCTGACCCACCCCGGCCTCTTCCTGACCAAACCCTACTTCTTGGGAACTACTTAGTTGTGCAGGGGCTGCTGGACCACAGTTAGATGCCCTCCGGCCTGTATTACTTAAGCAGACTGAGTGAAAGAGAGGTAGATCCGTGATTCTTGGATCACCCTGGGTTTATTAGAAAAGCAGGGAGCTTTAGGATTGGAAGGGATTTCAAAAATAATGAGTGATAGGTTTCCTAACTCAGATAAGATTGTAGACCAGCGGATTACCCAAATAGTTAACTCGGGACTGTTAAGAACAAGTGGATATTTAATGCGTAAGAATTCGAATTCATCAATAAACAGTACCATTTAAAAATAATTTGATTCACTGTTGTCAGTGTTCAGTGCACCTTGACGTCAAGTTGCAAAATAATTCTACTTATGTGTCCTGCAGGGTTTTGACTTGCCCGAGGTTATTGGTAGAGTGATGATTGGTCCCAGAACTCCTGTCTTCTCTTGCTGTATCAGCTCCACCTTTCAGGCCAAGTTAAAAGTTGATTGAGTGTGCTGTTGGGTACTGGGCTTTGTGAGGGATTTAAAAGGAGTAAGATATAGGCTCTGACTTCAAGGTGCATATAATCCTATGTGATTATATAATCCCAAGGAGATGACAGACAGACATAAAGGTGCGTTACCCACCAGTTACGGGCCAGCAAGGTATTGCATGGTGTTGGGCAGCGCCTCATCCATCATTTTGTGATGCTGCCTGTGTTCAACTGCTAAGTGATCAGACAGAAGCCCTGGCTTCCCAGAGGGCCGTTTCAGTTGTGGTAGGAGGGAGGGAGATGGAACACCCCCTTTCAACTCCTGGGGCTTGCTGGGTTGTCAGGTGGAAGTGATTCTAGAGTTAATTTACTGTTCTGCTGCCTGATGCCTGCCCCTCTTCAGGAGAGGTTTCTGAGTGCCAGAGAACGTGATTGACCCGCAGCCATTCAGATTGTGAACAGATACACATTTCACATTTATGGAGTCCCAGTTCAGCGTTCTTTCTCCTTTTACCTTGTTTCACAATTCAGTTGAGTTGATTGGATGCCTCTTATATAGAAGGCAGGATACTATATGCTGTTAAGAAATACTGGGGTTGCCAAAAAAAAGTAGACAAGTGGACACTTTGGTCAACATTGCTCAAGCAGTAGTTCGCCATAATCAGAAGTGTCTGGACGCTGATGGGAACCACTTTGAGCACCTCCTGTAACTGCAGAAGTCAAACGTGACTTGAATTCATTTTTTGTTATTGGTATATATTGAGTATTTTAATTTTAATACAGTTTTCCTTTGTTAAAGTGCATATACAATTTTTTTGGCACCCTCTGTATAAAGACTACTATGACACGTTCCTATCCTCAAGAAATTTAGTCTTGTCAAAGGCAGACACATTTATAAATTCTGCTAACATTTTATGACTGTTGATATTGCAGTTTACTGTAAATTACTGTAGCCACGACCAAGTAGCATATCCACTTGGTAGGAAATAAGAAAAGAAAGGCCTAACATATATAAACAGTGTATTTTTATACTAGAGTAAGAAGCTAAATACATGGGTAAATTGACATGATTCGTGGAAAATGAAGCTTTTCTGGAACTGAATACTTGTAAAGAAGTGCCTGCAACTCAGTGTATATAATTTTGAGTATCTTTTTACTAAAGATAAACTCTCATCTTTGTAATTTTACTTAAATACCCCAGTACCTAACAGCATATCTGCTCAGAAGAGAAATAAGGGCCAAGATTGATTGGGTTACAAGTGGGCAGGAAGGTCAGGCCAATTAATGATTAAAAAGTCTTGAAACTCAGTTGTTTGGCTACAGTGGTGGGGACAAGGGAGAAGAGGAAGAGGTTAAAAAAAAAGTTTAAAAAACCACTGTAAAAGAGACAGTATGAGTTAATTAGAAGTGGGTAGGAAGGAGTAGTGGGGCTAAATTGCAAGAGTAGAGCCTGAAGTTGATCCCAGTTTGAGAGAAGGCTTTAAGTTGTGTTTCCTTGAAGCAGCACTGGGGTGGGTGGATGGGTGGAGATGAGGTGGTATATCTGGGAAGCAGAGACAGGGAGTCCTCAGCTCTCTGCCAAAAGTGCTGATTAAGGCCTGACATGTGACTAGTAGGTCATGTGACTAGGCAGGGGCCCCACTCTAACTTTTCTGTCTCATAGTTCACAGTTTGGTTTTTTTAAGACCAAGCAAGGCTGCCTGTTATCGGAAAAGAGCCTTTACGCTTTCTGGACAACTTGTAAATTTGAGCCTGCTGCTGAAAAGAGGTATAGATGGAGAGACAGAGAGAAAAGTTAACATTTAAGCAAATCCACATTTTGGAGCGCTAACTCATACATTGAAGATCCAACTTTTGAGCCGTGAACCAGGCACTGGATTAGCTGCTTTTGTGTGTGTTATTTCATTCTCAACAATCCTGTGAGGTAGAAGGGAGGGATTTCACAGGGTGAGAAGACTGATTAGAGATTGACCTGTTGGCTCTATTGTTAAGTGTATTCAACAGACCTCTCAGCAGTTGAACTCGCTTTGTGATCAAGTCTCAATAAGGATTTAAAAGTTCTCCCCCAATAAGTTGTGTTTAAATTTTTGAGTTTAATTTTTTTAGTATGAATTGATTTTAGTTATTAGGAAAAACAAAGAAGAATATCAGAATTGGACTAACTACACATTTTCCCCCAAAGCCCTATGGATCATCTAGAAACCTCAGTCATCTCTCTCTTCGCTTTTATCGTTGCAGCTGTCCGGTTATTTCCAAGTCCTGCCCACTTTCCCTTTGTAGCGCCTTCAGTGCCTGCATTTTCCTTTGTTCCTAGTTTATCCTTCCAGCTCAGTTCCTCTTCATTTCACTTTTGGGTTAATTTGGTCTCCTAGCTCTTTTCCTTGACTCTAAGACTCCTTCTAACATTGCATCCCGCTTACAAGTGAAAGAGGCATCATTTATGGTATGAGTAATTCTTTTTAAACAGTTTCAAATATATTCGAATATTGTACTGAGTTAGTGATTTCTAAACACTTAAAAAAAATCATCTGTTGCACCAAGCTCACGTGTGACTCAGTCCTTAGGGTTTTTGGTATCTCCCCATGGTGTAGAGTTGTCAAGACAGATCTGAAAAGCTAATGACCTTGCCCTGCTCCACCACGTTTTTTTTTTTCTTGTTTTTTTTCTTTTTCTGGGAGTAATTTGGTTTTCGTCTCTCCATTAGTTCACACTTATTGGAAAGTTTGAGACCGCTGGACAGTTTTTGCAGTTGTAGTAGACTTGTGTTCTCTACAGTATCTGATACCATTATTTCCATTTTACTTTATAAAGAAGCATTAGGTGGAAAGACTAGTGGCTGAAAGATGAGAAGAGTGTAAATTCTAAACTGAGCTCTGTCAATAACTTGCTTTATGACCTTGAACAGACCAGGGCTCTTCTCTGGGCCACTCAACACCAGTTGTGTGAAGTGTGGGATTAGCTTGGACAATTTCTACGGTTCCTTGATGTTCAGTTTTACAGATCCCAAGAGTTTGGCAGTACTGCCGGTGAGGCTCTCAGGAGGTGTACATTAGCCATCCAGGCCTACTCCATTCCACTTCTGAACCTTTTTTAGGTGCATTTTTGCTTGCTGACAGCGCTAAGGAGGAAGGTTTCCAGTGTTTAGATTGTTTCCCAGTTAAAGATTTTCATTTTCAAAGATTCTTGACTCTTAAGTTCTCACACCACAAAGAGAACAGTTTTCAAATGACCATTAAGCTGTCTTAAAGGAGAATGAAATAACTGAAGCCATAGCTGATTGGGGCTATGATTAGGGCTGTGGCTCCTCAACTTGGGAAGAGTTCTGTCATTTTGATTCTTTCATAAAAGACTTGGGAAATTGTTTCGCAAGAATATGCAACAGAATCGAGCCAAGGTATTTTTCCAGTTAGTGCCCAGATGACAGTAAATTAAACAATGACATAGTCTAAAAGGCAAAATCTACTTACATTTTATGCATTTAATATTTTTTTAGATCATAAAACTATGTGTGGTTAATAAGTCAAATGTAAGGAAAATATTAGTTTGCTTTACTTGTGCTAAATGAATATTGCTAATTATGCAGTGTAATATAGTATCTAGCACACATTATGCAGAGTCTTAGTGCTTTAAAATGAGTATTGAATGTATATTTTGGAAAGGACACATTGTTTTAAAGAACACAAATTTGAGAAAGTTTGCCTTATGTATGAAGTGTTGCTCATTGATTTATGCTGGGAAGAAAATTCATACTTGGAACAGGTTTGCTCAGAAGCTAA